ATCTCCCCCCCCCCCGCGGTGGATTGCGGTTTTCACACACCGCCCCGCTGCCTTGCTGGTCAGGTTCCGGTTGTGAATTGCCGAACAAAAATTGGTCTGGGCAACCTGGCATTATCACGCCCACAAACAAATCATGGAACTGTCTCTTTTTTGTGTGAAGATTATTGTACTGTTATTTTTGTTTTACACAGTCTGAATTCAGACCCGTGTGTGAACTACAAATACACTTTGAAAAATGGACCGTCATGAAACGGTAAGACATTGAATACCACCACTTGCGGAAAGAACACGAAAAGTTCCCATCCTCACACCCTGGTTAAAGTTAATGGGGATTTTTTCTCTGTCGTACGGAAAACTTTCGAAACCGGGTATATGCACCGACGAACCCCGTGTGTTTCATTTCCACCACATTGCCTATGTGTACATCACACACGTGTTTAGGTGCACCCGATAACGCTGGGACTGACCACAATTGAGAGACTAGTCATCTCCTCAGGTGTGTCTGTCTGTGTGTGTGTGTGTGTGTGCTTATCAGCAATTTTCCACCCCAAAACACTTGCGTCCCTGATCCAGCTAGCAAATCCAGATGGAGATTGGGTAACACGAAATACGACTATGTTCTGGTCCTAGATACAAATTCCTAGGATACGGTAGTCTCGTGGTTACAACAAAAAAGAACGATGAACACGATAGGTGATTCGAAGAACTAGGTGAAAGTACATCGCTCACCAGTCCGGCATTCGCATTCTTCTGACGGGTTCGAATCAATTTCCTACCGTCCTCGACGGTAAGAATTGTTTGATGAAAAAAGAGTTGAATAAATTGTTATGAATTTTAATCGGTTGGTTATTCAATGTAAGGAACGTGAGGGGCCGGTTTCTGACACTATTCCTCTTACCAACGAACCGTTAACGAAAAAAGCGAAATCGGACAATTGTTCGAAACAGCAATCAAATGTGGCGACCAAATCGGAATGAACGACGGTTTTTTCACCTCCGCGGTTTAAACCGATCGGTCATTTGTTTCGCTCCACAATTTTCCCCTGTTATTCCATCAAAGCGTTTTTCTCCCGCCTGCCGTGGTTCTCGTCCGATCCAGTTGTCTTCCAGTGCTACTTACCGACCAAACGATTTGCACTTTATCTTTTCATTGACGTGAACCAATCAGACAAGAGTGTCACACTGTTTCGTCTGTGTGTGTGTGCCTCACCTGATTCCACTTTTGTCCTCGCGTTTTTCAGTTTGTCCGGGTTAATAAAACCGGATGATCCAGTTCAATCGGTTGTGAATCGGCTATCCCGTGACAACGCCTATACATCCTGGTTCCGGGTGAGTTTGATCATACTTTCTTTCCGATTCAGACCATCAGTTGCCTTTTACATGACCTGTTGTTGTTGTTGTTGTTGTTGTTGATCATTTCGATTTTTTTCTCCACAACTCCTCATTACCAAGCCGATTCCAGTGACCAAAAGATACAAGTCTAAATTGCCTGATCCGATAGTGAACTAGTGATGAAT